GTTTAAAACAATCTTGTGTTTGAAAGATTATTATAATGTATAAGTTAATTAACTAATATAAAGAATGCAAATCTAAAATTTTAAAGATGGCCCTCTTCAACTATAAAGTCAAACAAACCTGCAGCCCTAATATTTTTTCTTCAGTGTATTATATGTATAATAAATACCTCAATGATAACAATATTTATCTCTTACAATTACATAACCATTTGATTTCATAAACATTATCTCATTGGATCTTCTCTGAATACTAGCTCTGTGAAGGAGATAGAACAGATTGTATTACTATATTTTGTAAATTAAGGACAGGTTGAAATACATCATTTTCTAAGAAAACTGAAGTATAGAAATGTCAAGTGATTTTTCCCATAGTTATTGGACAATTGAAAGATTTAGCGAGCCTGGAACCTCAGTGTTCTCACTTCACTCACATCTTTTATGTAAATTGAGGTGATGAGTCCCAGTAAACATTTATCTTAGCCCAAACTTCTTGAAATCATTCTTTGAGTTACTCTTGTTCCTCTAAGGGTTCCACAGCCCTACAGAGACTGCCTGGTGGAGATAAAACCCCATCTTTACTCACTTGAATTCCTTTTTCTATACCTGTTCCTTTGTGTATCTCTTGTCTTCCCAACTAATATACATGTTCCATTGGGACAGATACTGTGCCTTATAGTTAATCAATACTGGGTTTATAGTCATTCAGAAATTCTTGACCTTTTAATTTCCTTAGTGCATTGTGATTAGTAGGACCTGAAATAGTGATGCAGAGTTTCACTTGGTTAGCTGTAGACCAAGGAGAAAGTGCCAGCCACTCTCCTCAGGAATGATGAATAGCTATTGAGATGGTTAATGTTTTTATTTTATTTTAATTTTTTTTACAATCCTATTTAATAAAAGCTTTAATATGCAAATTGTTGTACTGGAAATTCTGCTTGCTATGATGTGCGCTGACCACCAGGGGGTGGCACGGAACATAGTAGGCGTTGGTGGTGCTGGCAGTGAAAGGCACTTCTGGCCCTGATGGGCCCTGATGAGAGCAGGACCACAGTGGGATGGTAGAGCAGGTGAGCAGGCAGCGTCAGACCAAGGCAAGTGCAAGCAGGGGCCTGATCGTCCCGCAGTCAGCAACCAGCAGCAGTGGCAAGGGGCTTGGCTGCCACCCAGCTCTCAGGCACTGAGGGAGAACAGTGGTGGCGGCAGGAGGTGGGGTAGATGGTCACTTTGGAGTTTGTTTGTTGAAGGTAGCAAGGCAGGGTCCCGGCTCTGATCAGCTGCCTAGTAGGCGGGATGGTGGAACAGATGAGGGGGCAGTGCCAGGCCATAGCAGGGTGCCAGGTGGGGCTGCAGTGCCAGGCCATAGCAGGGTGCCAGGTGGGGCTGCAGGGCTGAGAGGATGGGGGCACGAGTTGGGGGCCCAATCCCTGCAGGCCACCCTGAGGACCTCACCTATGCATGAATTCATGCACTGGGCCTCTAGTATACAAAACAAATCTTTTACCAGATTGTAAATACAAAATAATTAACCATTTACATGTAGTAAGCATTGATATTTTAAGAAAAATGATTTTAAATATAATAATATTACATGCAATAAACAGCATTTTAAGAAAACATATTTTAAATATAATATTACCAAAATTGTACTAACATAGTATAATATCACAAAAGTTATAGGAAATATTTTTAAAAATCTGCAAATAACAGGATTACTTCTATTCTAAAACTAGAGGCCCAGTGCATGACATTAATGCACTGGGGTGGGGGTGACCTTCAGCCTGATCTGCACCCTCTCGAATTTCAGAACCCCTCGGGGGAGGTCCGCCTGCAGGGAGTGGGCCCAAGCCAGCAGTTAAACATCCCCCGAGCAGTCCTTAGCGCTGCCGCAGAGATGGAGAGGCTTCCGCTACCGTTACTGTGCTGGCCAGCCATGAGCCCAGCTTGTGGCTGAGCGGCACTCCCCCCTGTGAGAGCACACTGGCTACCAGGGAGCAGCTCCTGCGTTGAGTGACTGCTCCTGGTGGTCAGTGTGCATCACAGTGACTGGGCGTTCTACCATTTGGTCGATTTGCACATTAGGATTTTATTATATAGGATATTTTCCCTCCTGGCTCTATTTTTATTCATCAGTTTATGTTGTTCATTATATTCCACAAATGAGTGAGATCATGTAATATTTATCTTTCTCTGACTAGCTTACTTCACTTAGCATAATACTCTCCAGGTTCATCCATGCTGTTGCAAATGGCAAGAGTTCCTTCTTTTTTACAGAAGCGTAGTATTCCATTGTGCAGATGTACCACGAGTTTTTATTCCACTCATCTGCTGATGGGCACTTAGGCTGTTTCCAAATCTTAGCTATTGTAAATTGTGCTGCTATGAACATAGGGGTGCATATATCTTTTCTGATTGGTGTTTCTGATTTCTTGGCATATATATTCCTAGAAGTGGGATTACTGGGTCAAATGGGAGTTCCATTTTTAATTTTTTAAGGAATGAGATAGTTAATGTAGATAACTGTAGAGACAAGCCCAATTAGGAGCCACCATTTATAGAACCATGTACTTTTAATGAGCATTTCCTCCTGTGATTGGGCCGAATGCAAGGTAGGCTAGTCATAGTGGGAAGTTAATCACCATTTCCCTCTTCAGGTCCTAAAAATAACGACCATTGGAAAGATAACAGCTCCTCTGCCTATGTCACTATACACTGAGTGACCAGATTATTATAATCTTGGTGCATGGATTCATGCATGGGTGGGGTCCGGCCAGCCTGGCCAGTGGGAGGGAAGATGGGTGGTTGGCCAGCCTGCCTACTGGTTGAACTCCTGGTCGAGGGGACAATTTACATATTAGCCTTTTATTATATAGGCTATAAGCTGAGTGGCCAGATTATTATGCGTTTAGAGATCATAATAATTTGGCAACTCAGTGTAGTTTCAAAGCCAACTTTTACTTACCTTATTACACTTAACCCTTTCAAAAGTCCTTTGAGATAGTCAGGGCAGGGATTACTCACCTCAGATAGTAAATGAGGAAACTCTGGCTTAAACTCCAAGATCAGGAGTCTAAGTAGTACTTGAATAGAGATTTTCTGGTACTTGGTCCAAGTCTCCTTACACTATATTGCTTCTGATTGTCAGTGAAGTTTGCCATCATCATTATTTGATTACCAGAGGATTTCATGGTAGGGGTGGAGGACTCTTTTCAAATGAAAAATATTGTGAAGGTAACGTGGCTTGAAATTTAACCTGTGCTTCTTGTCCATCTTAGCTTTGATTTTATTCTGAAATGAAACAAATTGAGCTAATTATGACAGTTATGTTGATGAATATGATTGAATAGAAAGGACAAAAATCAATGCATTTTTGCATTAAAAAAAAAATCAATCAAGGACTTCCTGGAAGATGGCGGCCAGGTAAACACTTGTACGGGCTGCCTCCCACAACTATATCAGTGTTGCAACGGGGGATCTTACCTGAGACCTGAAAGGACCACAACTGTGGGGCCCCGACCAGCGTGGACACGCAGATTCCACAGAAAGGTTGGATTTTGCCGGGGATAACGCAGGGTGTCTGTGTCCCAATAGCGAAAGTGAAAGCGGCCGCTAGGGCGGCAGAGAAAAAAGCGCGCTGGGACCCCAGAAATCTGCGTCCACAGAAGCCCCCCACTGTTGGGTCTGGCGTGATTCGAGAGAGTGGACAGGGGTCCCCAAAGTTGCTCTAGGGAGCAACCCATTCTGATCTGACACGGTGGGAGAACATAGGAGTTGGAAAGCAGTCTGTTTGTAAAATCAATCAGCTTGGCCAGTGTGGCTTAGTGGTTAAGCATTGACCTATGAACCAGGAGGTCATGGTTTGATTCCTGGTCAGGGCACATGTATGGGTTGTGGGCTTGATTCCCAGGACAGGGTGTGCAGGAGGCAGCTGAGCGATGATTTTCTCTCACCATTGCTGTTTCTATCTCTCCCTCTCCCTTCCTGTCTGAAATCAATTTTATAACATTGTTTTTAAAAAAATCTATCAGGTCTTCTAGAATTTTTAAAGTATAATTCCAGAACATCTAGATGCAAGAACAAACAAGACCTCTAACCAGATGAATTTATAGATATTTGGGTTTTCTTGGTTTACTCCACACCTTCTCAAAAGTTACTGATGGATATTTTTAGTATGCTATTGGATATTTTTTTTTAATTTCTAATAATAATAAAAGAAACTTCACCTTATATAATTGCTACATTAAATACACATGTTTCTTTTCACAAAAAACACCTCTGTTGGCTATTTAATGTTTTAATTCTTCTATGTAGACAGCAGAAACATGCACTTATATTTCCTCATATTTGCCTAAATTTAAACTTCAAAATATTTAATATGTGACCCACTGTAAACTTCAATAGAAGTTAATATATATTACTTTGGACTAAACTAGGCAAATTCTTTGGGTAGTGTTTTAAATCACAATGGTAATAAGAACAGTAAATGGAACATGTGCTAGGTGCTTTACACACATTATAGATTCATAAGCTATAATAATGATCTAAAACTGTGAGTTAATAATGATTAAAGCACAAACAACATAGTTGTGATGTGTAGAAACCTTTTTTTTTTTTTTTTAAATCCATCACTAACCTCCAAAAAAGATTTATAGAGTACCTCTCTCAGAATTAGGAAATGGATATATTATTCTGCTAATTAGAAAAGTAACAGACATGTTGGGGGGAGGGGGGAAGTGATATGTATATTTTAGGCTTGTTACAGTTTCCTGGAGCCCAAGTCTATTGTCTAATGAATAGTAAATAGCCTCAACTATTGTTAACATTAGTATACGGAAACATTTTCAAATTTTAAGAGCCTTCCTGGTAATGTAATACCTGGGCTGCTAGAGTGATCTTTCTAATGTAACTTCAGAAATAAAAAAAAAAAAATATCCCAGCAGTAAAAACCTTTTGTAAAACATGGCCACATTTTGTTTACAAATGATGGATTCTACTTTTTGCAGATGTGTCTTGCTGAATCCGGGCTCTCTTATCCCTGCCATCGACTGACAGTGGGAAGGAGATCTTCACCTACACAGACCCGGGAGCAGTCCGAGGAGGTAAGCCTGTTAGCCAGCTTTTCAGTGAACATAAGGCCTATCCTCCACACACCTGCCCACTTCCTATTCTTTTTTATCTGCCACAGCAGTGAATAGATAAAGTTAATGTAGCGTGAATAAAGTCTCAGTAAATTCGCCCCCCGCCGTAAACTCTTTAAAGCAGAAACTTTCCACGCAAGGTTATGGCTAATGTGGTCTTTCTTGTTCTTTAAGTTTCATGTTTCAGCAGACAGAATTTGGGTGGATTGGTTAAAATGATTTTTATGTAGAATTGTCAGGTTAACAGGCATTTTCTTTGCTGCTATTTATTAGGATTGAGTACATTTATGAGGATTGATTCTGAAGGTTCTTTAACTCATTCAGTTGGTGCACCTTCTGTGAGCCAGGCATTGTGCAAAGATGAATTAACAATGTATTATTAGTAAACTAATAATAATGACATCCTAAATAATAAAGAGGTAATATGCAAATTGACCATCACTCCAACACATAACATGGCTGCCCCCATGTGGACACAAGATAGCTGCCACAAAATGGCCATCAGGGGAGGGCATTTGGGAGGGTCCTGGCCTGCAAGGGAGGGCAGTTGGGGGTGATCAGGCTGGCAGGGTAGGACAGTTAGGGGTGACAGGGCTGGCAGAGGAAGGCAGTTGGGAGCAATTAGGCCAGCAGGAGGGAGCAGTTATGGGTGACCAGGCTGGCAGGGGAGGACAATAGGGAGGGAACCAGGCCTGCAAGGGAGGGCAGTTGAAGAGGGGGGGAGGGGCAGGCTTGCCGGGGTCGCAGTTGAGAGGGACAAGGTCTGCAGGGGAGGAAAGTTGGGGGGAGGGGGAGACACCAAGCCAGCAGGGGAGGGCAATTAGGGGTGATCAGGTTGGCAGGGGAGGGCAATTAGGGGCAACCAGCCTGGCGAAGGAAGGAAGTTAGGGGTGACCAGGCCAGCAGGGGAAGGCAGTTAAGGGCAAGCAGGCCTGTAGGGGAAGGCGTTTGGGAGCAATAAAGCCAGCGAGGAAGGGCAGTTGGAGGCGACCAGGCCTGCAGGGGAGGACAGCTAGGGGTGACCAGGACAACAGAGGAGAGCAGCTAGGGGCAATCGGGCTGGCAGAGGAGCAATTAGGCATCAATCAGGCTGGCAGGGGAGTGGTTAGGGGGTGATTAGGCTCGCAGGCAGAAGCGGTTAGGGGCAATCAGGAAGGCAGGCAGGCGAGTAATTGTCAGCCAGCAGTCCCAGATTGTGAGAGGGATGTCCAACTTACCTAGTTGGATCAGGCCTAAATGGGCAGTTGGACTTCCCTTGAGGGGTCCCAGATTGGAGAGGGTGCAGGCTGGGCTGAGGGACATACCCCTTTCTTCCCCATGCATGAATTTCGTGTGCTGGACCTCTAGTATTACAATAAATGCAATGAGCTGAAACCGGTTTGGCTCAGGGGATAGAGCATCGGTCTGTGGACTAAAAGGTTCCAGGTTCGATTCCGGTCAAGGGCATGTACATTGGTTGCAGGTACATCCCCAGTAGGAGGTGTGCAGGAAGCAACTGGTTGATGTTTCTCTCTCATCGACGTTTCTAGCTCTCTATCCCTCTTCCTTCCTCTCTGTGAAAAATCAATAAAATATATATTTAAAAAAAAAAACAAAAACAATAAATGCAGTGATAGCAATCAGTGTACATAGGGTGCTATGGAAACAAAGTAGAGGGCCAGATAAGATTGAACATGTTTATGTATGTGATGTCCCTGTGTGCGCGTGTGTGTGTGTGTATGTGTGTGTGTGTGTGTGTGTGTCTTTGTGGGGCTGAGTGATATTAAAAGGCAGTACCTTTTCCATGGCTACAAATAACACTCTGTCCAACTATGACTTTGGTTATAAGGGAATGGGAAAATGGGCCTGAACATTATAGCTTATCAGTTTAAGGAGTATTTATTAAACTCCTGTTATGTGCTAGGAAATATCATTACCATGATTTAAAAAGTGTACATCACAGAGGTCATAACTAAATAGCACAGAAAAAGTTTATTTATACCTATCTGTTTCAGGCTAAAGCCTGAAAGTATTTGAAAAGTTTGGGCTAGTTCAATAAAATTATTTTGCACTTACTTTCTATATAAAAAATGGCTGCAAATTTTTATTTAAACTGACTATATGATTTTTTAACATTTTAGAAATCCACATAGAAATAAGGTTTTCCCCTTACTATAAATACTACTATACTGTTTTCTTGAGCCTCAAAAAATGTTGATTTCCTTTAAAGAATCCACATCCTTTTTTTTTAGCATTTCATTTCACTAATTCTCATGAAAGAAAAAAGGATAATGAATTTCATGTTTGGCAGAAATAATTTATTGAAATATTTGTTTTTAATATTTTTGAATATATTTTAAATGACTAAAGTAGATATGTTTCAACTCTTTAATGGATAAATCCACTAACATTAAAAAGTGACCAACTAGCTACATCCAAAATTCTTAATTGTTCCATTATCTGAGAGGTGACAGATACCTATTTCACTTCATTTTATTTCTTCTCGTACCCATGCCATTATGTGTGAGAAATCAGTATCACAGAGTGAGGTATGTCAGTTTCACATACTTGCAAAAGTATGTGAAACTGATGTACTTTTTAGATTAATTAGAAAAGGGAGAGTAGGCTTAGGAAGCTTTGCCAAACTAAAGTATAGTCACATCCTTGGGAATATCTTAAAATCTGATTGTCTGAGATGAATCCATTATTCTTCCCTAGCTAACTATAAATACTACTGTGTTTCCCAGAAAATAAGACATCCTCCGAAAATAAGACCTACTTACAGGTTTCCTTTTGAGTGAAATATAAGGCATCCCCCGAAAATAAGCACCCCCCCCCCAGGCTAAACATAAGAGATTTAGTCCACTGATTCAGAAAGAAATGGAGTCACAAGAAATTCACCAGGAAATTCAGGAATTGGATTGTTATGATGATGTTCCAGAAGATGATGACATGATTGTCATTGAATAAATGAGTAAATTCTTGATACTGTAGGATTCACAGTTTGTCTGGTTTGTGTTGACAACTACCCTACTACCATACCGTATACAGGTAATAAATTTCCTTTATTTTCATTTAATAATAAATGTGTACCGTATTCTTCTTCATGAAAAAAATAAGACATCCTCTGAAAATAAGACCTAGCGTATCTTTGGGAGCAAAAATTAATATAAGACACTGTCTTATTTTCGGGGAAACAGGATACCTCCTCCAGGGAGCTGGTGAGAAATGGGAAAGAAGCTGTGGTTTTTATGTTGTCATAGAGTTATAAAAACAAAGGGATTTTTAATTCAATGTTTACTCTTCCATCCATTCATCCCTCATTCATTTAAACATCACTTAATGTCTTCTAGGTTCCAGACGTTAGGACCACAGTTTGTATGCTGAAAGAGTTCACTCAAAGTATCCCTCAAAATATACCTTTGTTTTACCTTTAATTATAGGGTTCTGTCTTCATGAGGCGCCAGTTCCATTGTTGAGCAGCTGTCTGTTGATAGTTTTCTTATATTAAACTGAAACCCATGTCTTGGTAGCTTCCACCCAGTAGTTTTACTTATTTTTTCTGGTTTTAACTCTTCTCCTATATGACTTCACATATTTCAAGACAATTTTGCTATTAGTAAGTCTTAAGTTAGGAAGGAGATATTTGAGATAAGTAGTTAAATTTAAATTTAATTTTTGAATTCATGGATTGCTATTATAAATTTTAATTGCAATCCATAAATTGGGAAAATTTTATTCCTTATATTCTCCTTTTGGACCTGCAAATATATTTTATATGTGACTAGAGGCTCACTGCAGGAAGATTCCTGCAATAGGGCTTCCTACTGGGGTCGCTGCCCCGCCTGCCTCCCTTCTTTCTCCCCCCAAGCACTTACTTCTCCACAGCTTCATTCCCTTCTGCAGTGCTTGGCTTCCTTCTATGCTGTCTTCAGCCTTTGCTGTGGTCTGGACATGCAAATCAACCACCAATTTGGTTGGATTAATTTGCATACTCACCCTGATTGGCTGGTGGGCGTAGAGAAGGTACAATCAATTTGCATGTTTCTCTTTTATTAGGTAGGATAGTTCCACATTTTTCTCTCCTTCCCACCCACTAATTGCTCTTGATTCCCCTTTAAATGATCTTTCCATATCTTTGGGTGCCTAGATAGGTACCTATCACTCCTCTTTCCAAATCCTTGGGTGGGACAGTATAGGGACCCCTTGGACCAATCTCCTTGGGAATTGTCCATTCTTCAGTGGACAGTATAGGAATAGTCCATATAAAAACCAAATTCTAAATATAGTTAATGTTAAAACCATTATTTTATAACTTCTTGTCATAATACAATAGTTATCTCTTTCTTAATTACAATCCTATTGAACTTGTTGACAGTTATCGTCCATTGAAATTTTCTCAGACCTTGCTTCTAAGATTCTTTCAATTGACTTTTCTTATTTTTGACAGCTTATCTATCTATTCTCTTACTGTTTCTCTTCCTTCACCAATTGAAATATTTATATATTCTGTAAACTCTTATCTTTTTCACTCATTTCTTTTTTTTTAACTGATCAATCTTATTCATTTTCATAATATCAACTGTTACTTATATACTGATGACTTCCAAATTTAAATCTTTTCTGAGCCTCTCTCCTGAGCTGGTCAGATTTTTTTTTCCCCCAGCTGCAAACTAGATGTTTTTACCTAGATGTCCTACAGCTTCCTCAAATTCTGAGAACTGGTCTCAGCATGCTCCCTCCCAGGACCTAACCATCTCTAACCACTAAGTTACCCAAATCTTGGTGTCATATTCACCTCTTTCTTTCTTTTTTTAAATCTTTATTTTTTTTTCTTCTTGATCCTTAAGTCTAGCTGGTCAACATATCCTGTCAGTTCTGCTGAAATATATTATTTTAAGTCCCCTTCATTCAGTTCCTACTGCTATGGCTCAAATATAGGTTCTTAAGTTCTCTCACTTGCAACTCTGATATGTCTCCTTTCTCATGTCCTCAAGTCTAATCTACCGTATGCTACCATACCACCCCAAACACACAAACACACATAGCCATCAGTTTTTCCCTGGAACAGTTGCTGCCTAAAAACCTTTAGTGCTTTCCCTATCGCCATCCGAGTAAAGTCCTTAGTGTGCTGATTTTAGGACTGCCACATCTAGACCCATCAAACCTTTTGTCCTACCTGCCAGTCCACATTCCTCTTCCATGCATAGAGCTAATGAATCCATTTGCTTTGCTGGATTCTTTATTGATTTTTCAAAATATTCAATTCCTTGCTTGAGTTTTTTGTCTGCTTAGACTACAACTCCCTCCCCATCAAATTTCCATTATTCATGCTCCACAATATTGGTATCTTTTTTTAAGGCAAGGGTTAAATAGTAGCACTTATTACACAATCTTCTTCACTGGTCCTAAAGTAACTAATCATGGTCTTCTTTATTTTCCAATAGCCTTTGCTTAATCTTTTGTTATATCTCTGATCACACTGAAAAAGACATATTTGCAACTAAATATGCCTTCCTTTAGAACAGGAGTTTCTTGAAGGCTGGAACTATGTTTTATCTCTATTTCCTAAACTTTTTAACTTGGTGTTTTGATATAAGTAGTTGGTGAAAGGAATATCTGCTTCAGTTTTAAGCTTGCCTCAGGCCAAGTATATATGAATCCTACTTTTTTTATCTCAAACAGTTTGGTTGTTATCTCCTCTAGGAAGTTTGCCCTAATCCCTCCAGTGCATTAAATGCTGTCCTCTGAACTTATCTGTCTTAATACTTATCACTAGGTATTATAATTATCTTTATATTTTATATAGTATTCCTTGAGAGACCATAATCTATATCTTTCACTTGGGTCCAAGCAGTGTAGCACTTAGTAGGGGCTTATAAATATTTGTTAAATGAAAAAAGGAATAAATTAATAAATAGCTAAATAGAATCACATTTTTTTAAAGCTATTTTTAAAATTCTGAATAAATAGCTTATTTGTATTTAAAGAATTTTAGGGCAGCCATCACTGAACCAAGAGATTATTATTTGCATCAGCAAACATTAATGATAAAAAGGTTGTTTATCTCATTTTTTAGAAGAAGCTTTTCCTAACCTGTTAGATGGCTGATAAGAAAACGTAAGGAGATTGGGAGTTCCTTATACATAATTAAGTAGCTCATTCTTGCAGATACTTCAATAATTCATATTTGAAATATACTTTTTCAACAAAATCGGCTTTTAGATACCTCCCTTTGAAGATGTTATCATTGTAGGATTTCATTTTCTTGGGCTCTTCAGAGATTTGGGAATGCTATACTTTGTGAAGACAAAATGAATAATGGGTTGCATAGGCACAAAATTAAAATCACCATCCTAGTATGAGGTTAAGTACTGTTGCTATGGAAAGGGACTGCTATTTGATTGAAAACCGAAATCAGAGAAAGAGGATAGATAGGGGGACTAAAGTAAAGGGGGTGAGAAATAAAGATGATACATAGAATAATCCCTTTCTTTTCATCTGTGTTCTCCAACCCTCCTATTTAACCTGATGCCTGCCTCTTAAAGAAGGGGTGAATACGAGGCACGACTAATAGAAGGCTAAGATGAAAGCTTAGCTAATAAGAATTTGAGGAAGTTTGTCATACTGGCCTTTGGTTTATTTCCTCTTGCCTGTGAGCCTGGGTGAGCATCCTAAAGGAACACGTAGTGTATCTTTAAGGGTTTGAGCCTTTACCTGTTTAAGACTGAGCCTCGAAGTTCAAGGGAACTTCATACTCCAGATATTTGCCTGCCTGAAATACAGAGGGAATTCAAGCACAGTTGTGTTATTTTGTGGAGGAGGCTCCATCACTGCCTTGAAATGAGGAGGGTTTTTAAATATTTAAGCCGTTGAACTGTTAAAATCAGGAAGAGGTCTTAGCTCTACAAAGCAAAACACTAAAGTAGGATTATGATCACAAATATAACCAAGGCTTCTGTGAGAAATAATGATACAGTCAGGATAGTAGATAGACTGCTTAGGGCCAGGACCTATCATTTTTATTTATCCAATAAGTATATGTTCATTACCTTCTCTATTCAAATCATTGAGAAGCCTGTCTTTAAAATAAAAGGGAAAGTCTCACAATTCTGGGCATTAATGCTTGGTTATGCCCAAGGAAGAAATGCTAAACCTACTGAGTCAAATGGGGTAAATATTTTGGCTTCCTCATTTGGAGCTGTTAGACTCACTGGGCCATTGGTCAGCAAACTGAGGTTCTAGAGCCACATTCGGTTCTTTGGCCCCTTAAGTGTGGCTTTTCCACAAAATACTACGTGCGGGCGCGCATGGATAGTGCGATTGAAACTTCATGGCCCATGTGCAGAAGGCGGTTTTTGGCTCTCAAAAGAAATTTCAATTATTGTACTGTTGATATTTGGCTCTGTTGACTAATGAGTTTGCCGACCACTGCCCTATGCCAGTGGTTTTTAAAATTGTCCCATCGTGTCCTGAGAGCCATTGGAGGTAACCCAGCTGTCAAAGGGATATGAGGAGGAAGAAGCCAAACGCCAAGACCATTAGGCTCCCTAACGCCCTCTCCCTGCATCAGCCAGAGTGGCCTTGTCAGATATTATATGCATTGTAATTTTGCATAATGTTTTGCTTGGGGCTGGAGGAAGGAGGTAACCCTGTGAAAAGAAATTTGAAAATCACTGATGAGAGATCTTTAAAATCCCTTCTAGCTTTAACATCTGTTTCTGTAAGTGGCTGACCTCTAATATCCCGTCTAGCTAAGTTTTTGAGTCTTTGATTCTAAGTTTCTTTTCATGCTTTTCTGGCAAATATTTATCTCTAAGTTAGGGTCTTCTGCATTGACTAAAGGATCAAATTAGTTTCCTCATTTTTATAACTGAAGTACCCAGCACACCATATTTTAAAAGATAGAAGTCTATTTTATGTTATCTTCCAATAATACTGTGAGGATAGTGTGCCATATTTTACCAATGAAAATTTTGAGAACCATTGCAGTAAAGAAGTGCCAAGTTTGAAAATGCTATCCTTGCTTTTCAAACATACCCCTGTCAAACATAGATTAGCGCGAGCTTTGTAAAAGTCTCATAGAGCTTACCTTGTCTCTGACCTCTCCCATTTGTACCTGTTACCTCATTTTTTGAGCAATTATTTTTTGAGCACTAAGTGGTGTTACTATAGGCCGGGGATCAAATAAACAAAGAGCCTGCCTTCATTAAGTTTGTAAGCACCTTTTATTTTCCCTCCGTCTCCAATCTCTATTCCGGGGATATCACAGCAAGTTTAGAAATATATGCAAGCCTTAAACTGAAAAATATTGAGCTTTGCTCTAAGAAATGGTTCCTTATTTAATAGAGCTTTTATAATGCTAAATGTGATGGCATAACTTATATCTTGAAATTTGATTTTCTTAAATAGCAAAGCACCGATGTTCATATGGTTAGCGATAGTGATGGAGATGACTTCGAAGATGCTCCTGAATTTGGGGTGGATGATGGAGAAGTATTCGGCATGGCGTCAACTGCCCTGAGAAAATCTCCAATGAGTGAGTATTATTAGTTCTTTGGGTCCGGCATTATAATTCTCCCTTTTATTACAAAAACTTATGAAGAGTAGTGAACTTACAAGTTTCTTACTGACTTTCGGATTTGGAAATAAAATATAACAAATAAGCACTATTCATTAGAATTAGAGCCTCTTGAGTTTTGATTTTATTAAGCCTAGTGATTCCCAATGCTTTAGTAAAATTCATTAAAATGCAAGGAAATGTAACTTGTTTCACTTGTGTAATTAGCTATGAATCTGTCCCTTTACTTTAAACCTAGAGTTTGTCAACAAACTTCTGTGACAAACATTTGTTTCCCCAAATCTTATTAGAAATATCAAAATTTGTACTATTTAAATATTTTAATGAATTAAGCATTAAGTGGTATTTTTTAAAATCTTGTAATTAAATTGACCATATCTCCAAAAACAAAAAAACAAACAAACCAATATTAGTATTACTTTTCCATTCACTGGTACTCATCTTTGGAAGAAACAAATAAATAAATAAATAAATGTACTATCTCCCTAACTTACACCTTACAAGATGCATACTGTAGAATCATAAGTGGTTGCTATATGAAAAATGATCCTTAAAAGAAGTCCTTAAATGGATCATTTGTTCTGAAATTAGGGAATTTCTGGGAGAAGAAATAGGTATATTTGCATTAAATTGACTATTTTCCTGATTAATAGGTCTGTAAAATAAATTGAGATTCTTTTTATATAAATTTAATCCCAAGATGTCATTTCAAGAAAACATTGAAATTCAGAGTGATGCCTGGCACATGTTTTAAATGCCTATTAGCAAGATTGTGTCAGTTGCTTTTCCAAAACTTATGAGCTTGGAATTTTTTTAAGTTACTTTTTTAAGATTTCATAAATTCTCCTAATGTATATCAAGATAAAATGTCTCCTCAGATATATCACAGAAACTAAAACTTAATCTTATTTTCTCTTTATTGATTAAATATATTTCTTATATGTGGGATTAGATGTTATGTGGTTTGTTTTTTGTGTCTATTTGTTTTGTTTTTTTTGTTTTTGTTTTTTCTTTTGTTTGTTTTTTAGTGCCAGAAAACGCAGAAAATGAAGGAGATGCCTTATTACAATTTACAGCAGAGTTTTCCTCAAGGTAGGGTTAGGATATTAATTCTATAACGTTGATGTTCTTTTAATGCCACTGTATTTTTCTGGAGCAGTTTTAATCATAAATTGATTATTTTTTAATTTCTCCTTAAAGTATTCAAAGATTATATTTGTCAACTTATATAGTCCTGATGGTGAAGCATGCAGTATTCAATGTCAAATAACCAGTTAACCATTTATGCCACTTCAGAGATGTAGTCATCTTATCTCTGTAGCTCTTCTTCTTCTTCTTCTTCTTCTTCTTTTTCTTTGTTGATTTCAAAGAGGAAGGGAGAGGGAGAGAGAAATAGGAACATCAATGATCAGAGAGAATCATTGATCAGCTGCATCCTGCACGTTCCCTACTGGGAATCGATCCAGCAACCCAGGCATGTGCTCTGACTGGGAAACTAACTGTTACTTTCTGGTTCATGGGTCATTGCTCAACCACTGAGCTACACTGGCCAGGCTTTGTATCTTTCTTTATTGAAGCACAAGAAATGGATCACTAATTTAACATTTTGACTATAGTCGCAAAGGACTGGGTTATAAAATACTACTTTTTAGTGTATCTAGGGCAAACAAAATATGCTTCAAAATAACATTATATAAAAAGATAATTTTATTTCTTATTTTTTAAAATATATTTTTATTTACTTCAGAGAGGTAGGGAGAGGGAGATAGAAACATCAGTGATAAGAGAGAATTATTGATTAGCTGCCTCCTGCACACCCCCCACTGGGGATTGAGCCCACAATTCGGGCATGTGTCCTTGACCGAAATTGTACCCGGGACCCTTCAGTTCACAGACTGACGTTCTATCCATTGAGCCAAACTGGCTAAGGCTAAAAGACAATTTTAAATGGAAGTGAATTTTTAATTTTTGTTTGGAATTATTTAGCATCTTTTCTTTTAATATAGCATGTTTTCTGTGCATTTACATGAGATTTACATGTGCATTTGAGATTCTCCAAAGGTGTTTTAAGTAAAGAGGATTTAAACATAAATTTTCGTGTAAATGACATTTCTGTTTAGTTCTATTTTCCAATGTAATAGTATAATTTGAAAACTTTGCAGGATACCATTTTCCCCCTCTATATTGGATTTCCAGAATAAATGAACTAAAATGCAAAGTTAAGGCGACAGTAGCTAGCAAAATTTTATGACCGTGGGTAACCAGGAACTGCTGTTTGTAAATGTCATGGTTTTGTGGCACTTAATTAAATACATTTGCTAGATGTGCTTAAAATTCTACTGTTCTAGTATACCAGTATAGGCCAAGGAGAACTCTAAGAACCAATGAAGCTCATTCCCAAGCCTTTACGGAAATGTTTTAACATTAGCCTTGAATTTACCTAAGTCATTGTTTAGACTTGTGTAACTTTGAAGTTAATTTGAAATGTATTTTAATTAATACGGATACTTTTTCCTATAGATATGGAGACTGCCATCCTGTATTTTTTATTGGTTCATTAGAAGCTGCTTTTCAAGAGGCCTTCTATGTGAAAGCCCGAGATGTAAGTGTAATCGATAACGTTTTTTGGTTAAAAAGTACATCCCATAGGTTTACCCCAGGCCTGGGGCAATGCTTAATGTTTTCTGTTTTTTTCAGGTTGAAGACTTGATTTTGATTCTGGTTCATCTACCAACATAATCATCACCAAAATGCCCATTTCAGAGGGGCAGTGGTGTGATAGGGTACTGCTGGCTCTTTCAGAAGGCCTTGATACAGGGTGGTTTTTTGTAAGGAAATAAAAAAAGAATATACATGCTTAGAAGGTACCAGGCTACTTGTTTGTATTCTTTTCAGTTACTTGATTGACAGGTTCTTGCTAAAGGATTTGTCCTTCAGTCTTTTCCCAAGATGATTATTCCCATCTGGTGGTATATATCTAATAGCTGCAATATATTTTTCCAAAAAGCCACTTTTGACAAAAAAAAGATTCTCCCTTAAACTCAGAAATGGGCTTTGTGATCTTGAAATCAAGTAGATTGACATTTATAACCAGAATCGGAGAGTACATTTGGAGCAAGAAGGTTCTATGCCATCACTCTGTTGACACAGCAGTCAAGTACTGGCATAAATCAGTAATCTGGTTTCTGCTTATTTGTACAGCTTCAGCTTTTCCCATTTCCTGCCTTACACTTACCTTGTTTCCCCGAAAATAAGACAGTGTCTTATATTAATTTTTGCTCTCAAAGATACGCTAGGTCTTATTTTCAGGGGATGTCTTATTTTTCCATGAAGAAGAATACGGTACACATTTATTGTTAAATGAAAATAAAGGAAATTTATTAGCTGAATACAGTAGGGTAGTATGGTTGTTGTCAACACAAACCAGACAAACTGTGAATCCTACAGTATCAAGAATTTACTCATTTATTCAATGACAATTATGTCATCATCTTCTGGAACATCATCATAACAATCCAATTCCTGAATTTCCTGGTGAATTTCTTGTGACTCCATTTCTTTCTGAATCAGTGGACCAAATCTCTCATGTTTGGGCGGGGCGGGGGGGGTGGGAGGGGGAAGGAAGGGGAGCTTATATTTCACTCAGAAGGAAACCTGTAAGTAGATCTTATTTTCGGAGGATGTCTTATTTTCGGGGAAACACAGTAGTAGATCAAGCAGTAGTGTACCATTTGTATTTTCCCATAATCTTACTCTTTTTTAAAAATTTAATAAATCATTATTGCTCAGATTATTACAATTGTTTCTTCTTTTCCCCCCATAGCTCCCTTCCACCCGGTTCCCACCCTCTGTCTTTACCCCGCCCCCCATTGTCCTCATCCATAGGTGTACAATTTTAGTCCAGTCTCTTCCTGCATCCCCCACACTCCTTATCCCCTGATAATTATCAATCCACTCCCTTTCTTTGTCCCTGATTCTATTATATTCACCAGTTTATTCTGTTCCCCAGATTTTTATTTCACTTGATTTTTAGATTCACTTGTTGGTAGTATTTGTTGATCATAATTTTTATCTTTTTTTCTTCTTCTTCCTCTTCTTAAAGAATACCTTTCAGCATTTCATATAATCCTGGTTTGGTGATGAACTCCTTTAGCTTTTTCTTATCTGTTAAGCTCTTTATCTGCCCTTCAATTATAACTTTGCTGGGTAGAGTAATCTTGGTTGTAGGTTCTTGCTATTCATCACTTTGAATATTTCTTGCCACTCCCATCTGGCCTGCATAGTTTCTGTTGAAAAACCAGTTGATAGTTGTGTGGGTGCTCCCTTGTAGGTAACTAACTCTTTTTCTCTTGCTGCTTTCAAGATTCTCTCTTTGTCTTTTGCCCTTGGCATTTTAATTATGATGTGTCTTGGTGTGGTCCTCTTTGGATTCCTTTTGTTTGGGGTTCTGTTTGCTTCCTGGGCTTATAAGTCTAGTTCTTTCCCCAGGTGGGGGAAGTTTTTGGTTATTATTTCTTCAAATAGGTTTTCAGTATCTTGCTCTCTCTCTTCTTCTGGCACCCCCTTAATTCTGATGTTGGTATGCTTGAAGTTGTCCCAGAGGCTCCTTACACTGTCTTCAACTTTCTGGATTCCCTTTTCTTCTTGCATCTCTGGAGGAGTGTCTTTTGCCTCTTTGTATTCCAAATCTTTGACTTGATTCTTGCATTCCTCTAATCTGCTGTTGGGTCTCTGTATAATATTTTTTATTTCAGTCAGTGTGTGTTTAATTTCTAATTGGTCCTTTTTCATATCCTCAAGGGTCTTGTTAAATTTATCAGCCTTTGCTAGGAAATTCTTGAAAAACCTTATAATTGTGGTTTTGAACTCTATATCCAGTCTTGTTCTCCTCCATTTCTTTCGTTTGAGATCTGTTTCCTTGTCTCCCCATTTTCACTGCTTCCCTGAGTTAGTAGGGTGGCTTTGTGTGTTTTGTGTCTTATATGGGCCAGTGCATCAGCCTCCCCAGTTACCTGAGGTAGACACTCTTTGTGCTCCCCTTTGTTAACTGTGTGTACATCCTTATTGTAGTTAAGTCTTGATTGTTGGTATCACTGGGAGTAATTGACTCTGAGTATTGGAAGTGAGTATCAGCTATGTCTACTCCAGGATACCTTCTGTATTGGAGACAGTCTTATAGGATCAGACTTTCAAAATTGCAATAGCCTCTGTGCTCAGCTTGGATGGGGCGGAGTCCCAGGGCTGAGCCAACAGTCTTAGCTTCCTGTCAGCCCTGCCCTTGTGTGTGTGCCTCAGACCTCTGCCTTCCACGGATCCCCTGAGTTTCCACCTGATAGTACAGATTCCCCTTGTAAGAGCGTGGGTGCTCCAGGGGCTTGCCCTGAACTGGGTTTCAGTGCTCAGTGCAGTCTGAACTGGGGTTCAGTGCAGTCAGTAGCTTCCGACTCCTTCTGCTATGGAGCAGCTGCGGCAATCCACGGTCAGACTTCTCTGCACGCACTCACTGGTACTCGACTCTAGACCCTGCCTGCTGCAGCTTCCGGCTCCCCGGAGTCTCCCAGTCTCTGAGTCTCAGGGTGCCTTTCTCTATAGTCCAGACTCCACCTGTATGAGCCTGGGTCCACGGGATTTCGGCCGAGGTCGGGGTTTCCTGCAGTCCTTTCCCTTCCTGCCAGCCAGGCACTTGCCCATCCTTCCTCTCTGTGCACACATCTCCCTACCTCAGCGCTTTGTGGCTCTCCTGATCCATGAGCCTCTCTTCTTTCTAGTTGTAGATTTCCCACTCAGCCAGCTTTCCTGTGGTTTTGGATGATGTCCATTCTGTCTTTTAGTTGTTGTTTTGAAATTGTTGTGTGAGGCGGTAGTTTAGGCGCTTACCTAGGCCACCATCTTGGTTTTCCTAATCTTACTCTTTTTTGCGTGTATGTTTCCCTACTGTCAGGAATGGCTTCCTCCTGCTATTTAGCTGGTTGACTCTACACTCCTTTGAAACTTAACCTTTCCTGACTTTTCCACTACTCACTCTAACATTAATCGCAGCCACTCAGTTAATACTTTGCAATGATAATCCTCTGCTCTTATTGTTACACTTAACACATTGCTTATAATTATTCTTTCTCTCTGTCCATATACATAGGACACATACACACACACACACACACACACATATATATATATATATATATATATATACCTTCTTGAGTTTTTTTTGTTTTTGTTTTTTAGCTGTGACTGTGTAACCTTTACATTCTTATACATAGGAAATACTCTATCCTATATAATAAAGAAGTAATATGCAAATTGACCATCGCTCCAACACACAAGATGGCCACCCCCATGTGGACATAAGATGGCCGCCACAAGATGGCCAGCAGGGGAGGGCAGTTGAGGGGAACCAGGCTGGCAGGGGAGGACAGTTGTGGGCAATCATGCCAGCAGGGGAGAGAAGTTAAGGGCAACCAGGCCAGCAGAGAATGGAAGTTGGGGGCAATCAGGCTGTCAAGGGAGGGCAGTTGCAAGGGACAAGGCCTGCAGGGGAGTGCAGTTAGGGGCAACCAGGCATCAGGGGAAAGTATTTGGGAGTGACCAGGCCTGCAGGGGAAGGCAATTGGGGACAACCAGGCCAGCAGGGAAGGGAAGTTGGGGGCAATCAGGCCGGCAAGGGAGGGCAGTTAGGGGCAACCAGGCCAGCAGGGGTGTGCAGTTGGGAGTGACGAGACTTGCAGGGGAGGGCAATTTGGGGCAATTGGGCCAGCAGGGGAGGGCAGTTGGAAGGGACCAGGCCAGCAGGGGAGGGCAGTTAGGGGTGACCAGTATGGCAAGGTAGGGCAGTTAGGTGTGACTGGGCAGGCAGGGGCAATAGGGCCGGCAGGAGAGCCATTAGGCGTCATTCAGGCTGGCAAGGGAGTAGTTAGAAGGTGATCAGGCTGGCAGGCAGAGGCAGTTAGGGGCAATCAGGCAGGCAGGCAGGCGAGTGGATTGTGAGAGGGGTCCTAGATTGGAGAGGGTGCTGGCTGGGCTGAGGGACACACACACACAATGAATTTTGTGCACCGGGCCTCTTGTATGTTTAATGAATGAAGAAAAAAGACAGGGAGGAAGGAATAGTGTGTAGATAGATTAGAGGGAAAGTTATTGGAATTAAAGAGGGCACAGAATTTTTAGAATAGAGTTCAAGGATGCCGCTGAAATTCTAGTTTCTAGTGTATGTTAAACTCTGACTTAAAGAAAAATTTATTTAAACAAATTTTAAAAATGGAATTGCAAGACAATAATTAGTGATCAAACTTAGAGCTATCATTGAGTTTAATGAGATAGATTAAGAAATATAGACATCAAGTGTTTTTTTTACCCTAAAAATAGTAGAATATCTTATCATACAGGCTGTTTTAAGCATTTATTTCTAACACTTAAATCCATATTAAATGAATATTATTTTTGATGAATTACTTCTTTATAATACATGTTTGTATTTTCCATAAATACAGGTTTGTTGGAAATACTGAAAAGCAAAAAGAAAATATTCTAACACAGATTTATGGTTAACTTTCTGACATATGTTTTTTTAATAATTTTTATTATATATTTCAATGAATATATTTG